CATCGCTACTTCCAACTGAGCTATGTCCGGCTTTATGCACATTGAGCAACAATTTGCATTTATGAACAAGCTGCGTTTTTAGCCTCTCCGGCTTACTTTTTCGGGGCTCGCAACGCATGGCCTTGACGGCGCAAAGATACCGCCGGGACTCATCGCTCGTCATGCCAGTGGTAGCGAAGCGAGGTGTGCGCATTGCGAGCTTGGTGGTCCGGCCGAAAGGGCTGTAATGGATCCAACGGAAAGCGGGGGCGTGCAGATTGGGAGTCACACCAAACAAAAGGAGGGTTGCATGACGCGCGTGTGCATCAGTCGCGCAGTCGAGTCATCTTGGTATCGCCGGCCCCTCGTGTCTCGCTTGGCGCCACCTTCCCCACGCCGCTTCCACAACCTGCAACAGAGTCACATCGAGCAGTACGCTCCTCATTTTAAGACGTGACTGTCCATCGGGATCACGATGGCTTTGACGGCGCAGCATCGGCATCTCGTTCAACGCCGAGTCGCCTATGTCCGTCTTTCGTCTTTCGTCGCTACCTCCGTCACGATTGACAGATTGGGAGATTCGATGCAGTCTTCGCTCGACAATTGTTATCGCGATCGTACCGTCCGAGCCATGTTTGAGGCTGTGTTGATAGGAATGCTACTCGATGCCAGGAGGGTTGGATCGGCAAAGATACGAGGCGGTGAAGACCAAGGAGCCGAAGCGAGGTGGCACGAGGTGGCGATGCGAGAGGGTCGGGTCGAGCTCCGCGGAAAGCACGACGATCGTCGACGCACGCGCGGGAACAGCTGTCACAGCGTGCCGCTGGACAGCTTGGACCCTGCGTCGCCGTGGTTGCCAGGCCCACGGGCCAGCAGCCACGCAATCTCGGCTGAGTTGGCGGCGGGGCGTGCCTGAGCGGGACTGTGATATTTTCGTCTCCGCCAACCGATCAAGCCACCACCCCCCTCACTTTGCGGGATCACGATGATCAGAGTGGTCTTGGCAGTATGCAAGGCCAGACTTGCTCTCGCCATGCCCAGCCAAGAGCGTGTGTACTTTCGCGCAACCCATTATCGGCATGCGATCAGGGTCTCGCCAGGGATGGTGTTGGGTACGGCGTGTGCAGTGTCCCGACGGACTTCGGCAAAGCATTTCTTTTCAGACGACGTTCCCGAGGGCTGTTCGGGCGCTATGGCGAGGAGTGGAAGCGGCGGGAGCGAGGAACGGACTCGGTGAAGGAAGGCGTGAGAGCACTGGGAAGTAGACGTGCCTGCAAAACGCAGCGCCATGTCCGCGGTAATTCGCTCGCGCTACGCGACGGCTGCGCATTAGGCCCATGTGGGGGCGTGGTGCATTGACAGCACCAGCCTTAGCCATGTCCGTCTGAAGCGACGGATGGTGACTCGTGCCCGCCTCGCTCATGACGTGAAGTCATCCGTGACTCCAGCGCTGTCCAGCATCCCGCGGGAAAGGGTCTTGGGCTGTGCTTGTCCGCTAGTGGTCGTCGATATCACATGCTCCTCCCCGTGCCTGCTGGAATGCCATACTGTGCCAGTCGCGATCAAGCGCGCGCCCCTGTACTGGTGTCACAGCATGATCCCAAGGGCGCTCAGTCGATCATCACGCGCTCAGACGATCATCACGCGCTCAGACGTTTGCCATCAACCCATATAAAATCCAGCCCTCCTCATGGCTGTCCTCGCCCCTCTTTTTCCTCAACTCACACTTCCACACAAAGCACTCCAACACTTTCAAAGTGACTACCACCGCACACACAACCTCGTCCACTACCACTTTCATGCACACGCTGCTCAGCTCATCCTCCACACCCAAGACCACAATGTTCAAGCTCTTCCGCAAGACCAAGGCCACCACCGGTGCGTCGATTATGGAGCACGCCAACGGCTCCGAGACGACGCTCGTCAGCACGGCAGCCCCCAAGCGCAAGACGCGACGCGAGTACCAGCCGTACCAGGCCGAGTTCTCGGGTCTCTCTTCGCTCGGCGGCATGCCTTCGCTCGGTGGACACATGTTCATGGAGCCCCCCTCGCCCACCAAGTCGAGCCCCAAGGCTAAGCTCAACATGGTTCCTGCGCAGCCGTTTGAGCGATCTCCCCGCGCAAGCGTTGTTCAAGCACGCCTGGAGACCGTCCAGGGTATGTTTCAGCCCCCTCGTCCTCGCCCCTGAGCAGACGAGCACCAAAACATCTTGAAGAAAAAACCATCAATGGCAAGCAGGCGCGCGTGCTTTGGTGGGAGGGAATCAAGGTACAGTGATGACGACCACCTTGATTTCCGCTCTTCTTCAGTCTCGACGAGTGGTGCGGAATGACTGACGATTGTTTGGTGGATTGGGGACTCCATGCACTTTCTTTACAGGACGTGGCTCTATGGAGACACTCACTCCGACCGCATCGACGAGCTCGACGAGCTCGGAATCGACGCAGCGCAAGCTCAAGAAGCAGCACAAGACGTTCTTCAACAACGCGTTTGGCAACACCTGAGCACCACGCTGCTTTGGTCTCAACCCCCGTTTATTGAAGTTTTATGGTCTCACCTCACCGCCCGCGCGCGTCGGCCATCGTGCTGCCGACCGCGCTCCCTCTGCAGTTTCCTGCTCCGATGTGAGCGCCTCACCGCCACGCTCGCGCTGACGACCTCGCCTCACATTGTCAAAGAGCGGCACCTCGTGCCAGAAACTGCGCCGACACATCAGCGAACAATCTCCAGCTGCGAACGTGCCACCTGGCCCCTAACGCATGTTGTCCCCCCTGATCCTGGTTCTGTCTACCCTCATGGCGATCCGCCACTTGTCTCAGATGTATTCTCCTCGTGTTGTGCGTCTGATTGAAATCCACAGAATCCGGTTCATCCTCGCTTTGCTTGCAATAGTGTGTTTCAGAGACTGATGGATTAAAGTGCCGAATCGACCATGTCGACATCATCGTCGCGCAGCGCCGGTTGTACGGGCGGTGTCGTGGGTGGCGATGAAGCGACGTATGCTGGCGTTGGACTCTCGCTGACTTCCTCGACCGGACGCTCTGCGCTTGCATTCTCGAGCTTCACCACTGAAACCGTGGCGGGCGCCGACTCGGGCATATCGTCGTCCATGCGTGCGTCGTGCTGGGCCGTGATGGCGGTATCCGCCTCCGCGGCGTCAGGCTCGTGCTCTGGGTGCGGTGAGCTTGCTGCAGAGTTGCGCGCGAGTGCGGCGGCGTGCTTCTTCTTCGCGGCTGCATAGCGCTCTTTTGCCGCATGGTTTCGCTTCTCCCTCTCTTCGGCCTGCTTGGCAGCGGTAGCCTGGGCTCTCGCCTCGTCCTGCATGTCGTACTGCCACATCTCGGCCAGATGCTCCTCAAACCGCGCCGCCAGGGGCTTCCACTTGGCCAACCCCTCTGACTCTTCCATCTTCTCCCATCCTGGACCCGCTGATGATGCATTCTCCAGTGCGGCTTCGATGTCCGCGGGGGGCGGGAACTTGAATCCGTGCTCGCCAGTGACGAGCCGCGCGCGTGCACCGCCGTAGCACGAGACAAAGGGAAAGTAGCCGAGCGCGCCGTCGTCAAAGACGTTTTCGCGCGCGCGAATGTTGATGACCGGCTCGGCGAGCTCGGGTTTCTTGAGATCCTGCTTGGCCGTGCGTCCGGTAGGCTTGAGGGGCGCAGGCCTGAGGTTGGAGAATCCCTTGACGCGGAGAGGCCGGAAGTCGAAGAGGTCGCGAAAAGCGATGCCCTGCGGGACGCCGTTGACGACAAAGCCGATCTTGGAGCCGGCGATGCGCGGTACAGGACGCAGCGACGGAGTTGCAGGCCCGGACGGTTTGTCCTTGGCAGCCGTGGTCTTGCGGTTCTTGACCTTGGCCGAACCACTCGCTCCGCCGGACGCACCGGCACCGTTGACCGCAGCCGCGGCGACACCGTTGGCAGCCTCCGAGGACGCGGGGTTGGTGGGGTCGAGAGGTTCAAAGACGCCCGTGCCCTGGATGCCCTGGTGTGCTTCTTCGATGCTGTTGCCTTTGCGACTGCGCTCCATGAGCTGATCCATCTCGCGCGTGCGCGGGTTCTCGAGGCTCTCAAAATAGAGCTGGCCCTTGTAGCGGATGGGGATGCGTTCACGGCGGATGTTGGCCGGGTCGTTCTCGTCCTGAGGCGGTGCGGGCTGGGGCAGCTTGATGTACATGCCCACCACATCGCCCGCCTTGAAGGGCTGACCGTACGGCAGAGGCCGGGAGAGCGTGACCTTGTCGCCGGTCTTGTCGCGGAAGCCGTACGAGTAGCCGTCGAAGCCGACGGGGGCGTTGAGCGGCGCTTCGCGGCGTGCCCAGCCGAGGCGAATGTGTGAGCCGTCCTTCATGGGCGCAGGCAGCGGACCGGGCGCGCCGACGCCGGGAGCGAGGTGCTCCGGTGGTAGGATCTCGATTTCAGCATACCACTCTCCCTGGCGCACGCCGATGTTGGTGCGTGCGCCGCGGAAGCCCTTGTCGGTCGAGACGATGTCGGCAGCAGCCGAGATCTTTGTGAAGGGGGAGCGATCGGACCAGCACCAGTGCACGGTGGCGGGCAGCGTCTCGAGCGTCTTGAAGAGCGTATGTGGCAAGTGCTGGCTGGCGGGACCTGCGGCAGTATAGCGCCATCCGTTGCGGTTGACAGCAAAGTTGACAGTGTTGTACAAGGTGGTAGAGCCGACGGTGGGAGCGAGGTGCGGCGCGGGGGCAAAGTCCTCGGCATCGTTCCTGCGCAGAGCAGGGCCGCGATAGCCCTGAGGCAAGGTGTGATGCGACTGATTGTGTGCTGTCGGAGTGGAAGCGGTGCCGTCCGGTGTCGAGCGTCCATCTTCATCCGATGGGCTGGAGCGTCCAGAGGGTGGAAGCGATGGCGTTCTGGAGGCTGGCTGTGCTGGTGGCCGGCCCAAAAGATGAGGCGCCGTGCGAGCGATGTAGACCTTTTGCGCCTCGGAGATGGAAGCGGGCGCCGGTGTGGACGAGGCGGAGCGCTCGGGGAAAGGGGACGAGGATGGCGGGGGCGGTGAGGAGGGATGCGGAGCTGGCGACGAGGGCTCGCTGGGTATGGGGTACGAGTCGGCGTTGTGCTGGGTCAGATGGTCGTACTTGCGTTTGTGAGGCGCAGCGGCCGGGTCGAGGGGTTGAGGCGGGTTGCCGCTGCCGCCAGCGCCGTCCGCTGGAGGATGACCAGGCGGCAGCGGTGGGGTGAGCGGCTGTGGGCTGTCTATGTCCATGACATAAGCGCGATCCGTGGCAAAGGATGGGGGTGGATGTGGAAGCAAGGTAGCCGTGTGTGATCCGCTTCTCCGCCTCTTCTTCCCGACAGTCCAACCGCCGCGGACAGATGCGCCACGTGACGGCCAGCTCCGCGCTCTGCTGCCTCACTTTTGGTTGTCGGTTGGCGAAAGCGCGTCGTATCGCGCCTTGACGACCCGGTGCGAAATTTAGGGCGCTGTTGTGCCCATTTCCATTCAACTTTTGGGCGGCGGGCGCAGCACGGAGAGTGTTACTTTCGCAGCAGCAGAGAGACCAACACCCCCTCTGCTGCTTCCCACCACCCATCACCCATCTCATCACACACTCTCCCAACATGGACGCACAACGCTTGCCGCCACCCGAGACACCACGCCGACAGCTGCTCAAACGCATCCATCGCAGAAGCTCCATCCTCCCTTCCACTGATCCCTCGGCCCACCTCGCCCCATCGGCCTCCGCCTCCACTTCCACCTCCCGCTCCAACTCTCGACGCGCATCGCTCAACACTGCGGGCACCTCGCCCCTCCTCAACAGCGCAGCACTCGAACGCCACGTTGAGGCAGACGAGGATCATGACCAAGCGGATGACGGCCATGACGCCAGCCCTGCAACTAATGTTCCCGACCAAGACCACGGCAACGACGTCGACGCCAGCCACTATGGCGTGCACACCGACATGCAAGACCACGACGATGCAGACGAGAACGGCGAGGAGGCGGCATGGGCGCAGGTGGACGAGCTCATGGACACGGTCCAGCTCAAGAACCAGCGCATCCTTCAGCTCGAAAAGGACCTAGCCCAGTGTCAACGCGACCTGCAGGCCGAGAAGGGTCGCATCAAGCCATCCTCCAAGGCAGGCAATGCCGGCAATGCCAACGCTGCTCAAGAAAAGGGTCTCACGCGTGCGGCGGCAGTAAAGCTCGAACGCGAGTTCCTCTCGCAGGAGATGATCCTCAAGGGTCTGCAGCGCGATAACGAGGACAAGACGCTCGAGGTCGAGGCGCTCCGACGAAAGCTCAAGCTCATGTCCGACTTTCTCGCGCGCCAGTACGGCCCCGACGACTGGGAAGCAGTGGTCCAGGCATCGTCTGGACTTGTCGCTGCATCTAGCTCTGGCGCCAAGGAGTCCGCCGTGGCTGCAAGTCCCAACAAGGAGAGCCTCAGCGCAGTAGCTCGGCTGCTCGGCGCGGCGAATGCGGCAAGCCCACGCGCTGCGAACCGCGCCATCTTCACTCCGCTTCTCGGCAGCGACGCCATGGCCAATCCATTCTCGCCCATGGCCGCGAGCCCAACAAAGACGGGCGCGGCCATCAACAACGACGATGAGCTCATCCCCACCATTGCGCGGCTGCACACACCCGCCTCAAGCCCCAGCAAGATGTTCGTCTCCTCATTCGCCCGGCCTCGCACCTCGCTCGACAACGCCAATGACGAGCTGGCTAGCGTAGCGACAGAAGAAGTGCAGCAAGAAGAGACGCCCTCGCCGCACCCGAACCTGGAAGCCACGGACAGTGCGAATCTAGGCTTGAAGAACACGGCTGGGCCGAGTGGGCTACCGGCTGGAATCGATCGCAACGTGCTGCTCGCTTCGATCGAGAGCGTGCGTCTGCTTATCCAGGGCTTCGAGCGCAAGAATGCAATGCGCAGAGCAGAGCTGGAAGCTACGATCGACAATGCGGTCCAGGCCGAGCGCAGAGCCGAACGGCTGCAGGCCGAGGCAGCAGCGCTCACCACTCCTACTCCAGCAGTCATCTAGACACCTTTCTGCTTGCATTCTGTATATCCTCACGTGCCTGTTAGCTATCTGCTGTCGATGCTGTTGACAATCCATACCCCGTGCCCTTTGCTCGTGCGCATGCCTCATCATTTGCCAGATGCGTAGTCGCCGTGAATCAACAAATAAAAGATGCACGTAGTGGCTATATAAATGCAATAGAAGAGTTGGCCAGCATCGAAGGCAAGATGGCCGAGTGGTCTA